ATAGTTTTTGGTGTGTTTTGGAATGAAACATATGCACTCCTTATATAGTGAAGTAGGATAGTTAATATTTCTCACATGAGCAATGTGGGACTAAATGATTTTTTCAACCAAAAAAATATTCTAACAATGTGGGACTTGAGAAATTTTTAAATTCAACATATTGAAACATGGACATGTTCCAACAATCCCCCACTTGAATTTAAAAAATTGATTTTAGAAGTAACGTCAAACGTTTCTAAGATTGTGCATAAACAAATGTGTCTACGACTTGAACCTTTGCATAGCAAGTAGGATTCCAATTCAACAAGAGTGACACAAATGTCTTGAACTCTATCTCAGACATCAAACCCGCACACAACATTTTCTTAAGGTGTATTCTAATAGCCCGTGCTTTAATGGCCCTGCACGTGTATCCCAGTTTAATGAAGGCTCTAGGAATTCTGCTTCGAAATTCCATAGGAACTGGCCTAAGTTCCACAATCACATAGGTGAGTCTATCAAGAGTACTCATGTAGCCTAGGTACTCCCTCATATAAAGTATAGATCTCATTAAGAGTTTCTATTATCTCATCCTCTTATTACTTCAGGATTCATGCTTTACTTGCATGATCATCTCATATTACTCACAACTTGTTATTACCCATTGAACCTATTTCTTGGGATCTCCAGTCATTTAGGTCGGGTTACCATCATGAGCAACTCATTTTTCTATAGGAATTAGTCTCATCTTATATGATGTATTATAGACTTTCTCTCTAGCTGATCCTTTCGTCAAAGGATCTGCTAAATTTTCATCAGTGCGTACATGATCCACTCTTACAGCTCCTTTAGAGATACAATCTCTAACAATGCTGTGCTTTCTTCTTATTTGACGTCTTTTACCATTATAATAACGGTTCCTAATTTTTGCAATAGCCGTGGTACTATTGCAGTGGATCAACACAACTGACATAAGTTCACGCTTGGATCATTTGGTGTGCTCACAGGTTTACTGTCAAAGTAATTATATTTCTTTAAGATCTTTTTCACATATTGTGATTGATCCAAAGAAATTCCTTGCTCGGATTTTGTGATCTTGATACCAAGAATCACACTCACTTCTCCGAGGTCTTTCATATCAAAGTTGTTGCACAACAATGATTTCATATCATTAATGGCCGGAATGTTTGATCCAAATATGAGTAGATCGTCTACATATAGACATATGATAGTGCAAATACAATTCTCAAATTTGTAATAAACGTATTTGTCACTTTCATTCACTTTGTACACATTCGATATCATTAAGTTATCAAACTTTACATCTCATTGCTTTGGAGCTTGTTTTAGCCCACACAAAGACTTATCTAACTTACAGACCTTGTTTTCTTATCCATAGATCACAAATCCTTCCGATTGTTTCATATAGATTTCTTCTTCTAAGTCACAGTTTAAAAAAGTTGTTTTAACATCCATTTGGTGTACTATTAAGTTATAAATAGCAGCTATTGAAATAAGTACCCTAATGGATGTAATTCTAGTGACAGGAGAAAAGGTGTCGAAGAAATCTATATTTTCTCTTTGTCTAAAACCCTTGGAAACAAGGCAAACCTTGTATTTATCAATAGTTCCATCAGGTTTTAGTTTCTTTTTCAAAACCCATTTACAACCGATTGGTTTGCAACCAGGAGGCAAGTCTACTAAGTGTCAGGTCTTGTTAGATTCTAGAGATTAGATCTCATCATTGATAGCTTCTTGCCATAACTAAACATCTAGAGATGACAAGGCTTCTTGAAGATTCATTGGATCTCCTTCTACATTATAAGCCACATAATTCGGCCTATAGTCTTTAGAAACTCTTACTCGTTTACTTCGTTGAAGTTCTGTTTCTACATTGTCGTTGCTTTCTGTGCTTCTTATCACAGGAATGTGACTCGATTGTGTGCCCCCACTATTTCTCAATTTGAAAGGAAATTTGTCTTCATAGAATTCAACATCAGTTGATTCTATGATCACTTTTGCCTTTAGGTCATAAAACCTATATGCTTTACTGTTTGCTGCATAGAATAAAAACACATTCATATGCTCTACTAACGAGTTTAACTCGTTTCGGATCCGGAATTCTGACATAAGTCAGACAACCCCAAGTTCTCAAATAAGACAAGTTTGATTGTCTTTTCTTTAATATCTCATAAGGAGAGATCTTACATTTTGACATGGGGACTCTATTCAGGACATAACAAACAGTCAATAAAATTTCCCCCACCAGTGAGGTGCAACATCGGAATTCATCATAATTGCAACAACATGTTCAGTAAAAGTTATATTCTTTCTTTCTATTTTACCATTCATTGCAAGATAGTATGGTGCAGTCGTTTCATGTACAATTCCATGTATAAAATTCATTAATAGACTAGACTCATACAGTTTCTCTATCACTATAAATTCTTATTATATCATTTTCAAATTCTTTACAAAAAATTTTAACATATAAACTTCATTCTTCGTAATGGCGTACACTACCCCAGTAGACTGACTAAACCCTATCTTATTTAAAAGAAAACCAGAAACAATATTCTTTCTAATCTTAGGAACATGCATAATGTTCCTTAAGATTAAAGTCTTTTTGAAGGTGAAATTTATCTCCATGTCTACAATTCCAGCAACATTCATGGTCTGACCATCTCCCAACAACACTTTCTTATCTTTAGTATTCGTGTATATTTAAACATAACACGATCATAACAGACACAACGAGAGACGCATGTGTCTATCCACCAACCAACATATCCATCAACCATGTTGATTTCAATGACCATAGCAATAAATTGCCCATTAGTCAGGTTGACCCATGCATTAGGGACAACACCAAGAAGTTCAAGCTCACTTCTACATTTCTTAGTCATATGACTTGATTTTCCATAGTTAAAACAAAGGGAAACCAACGTCATTTCTATTAGGTGGTGGTTGTTGCCTATTTGGAGCTATTGGGATCATAGAAGGATTCCCATTCTTAATTCGGTTCACAATATCGCGGTTCTGATTCTTTAATCATTGGCCAAATGGCTTCAGAACTATACCGAATTTCTTTTTGTTGTTTAAAACAACCAAAACTTTTTCTTTTTGATATTGTCTCTAAGACTCCCTTTTTTGTTTTTAAACATTCAAACTGTGGGGTAGTTTGTCAATAATAAAGTCAATTTGAAATTGTTCATTTAAACACATACCTTTTGTGATGATCTTTTAAGCAATCTTTTAAAGTTCGTAACATTGAGCCTCCATCAACCTTACATCTTTGCATTTGATACTTGAAGTAGCGGCTAACAACATACTTCTTTGCTCCAGCTTCTACGTCATACTTCTATTTCTGAGTCTTTCAATCTTGTTTTGCAGTATCACATCAACTGTAATTATCATACAGATCATCTGCGAGTCTATTCAAAATATGATTTTGTAGAGATTTTCATTCTGTTTCTATAAGGTGATTTCTTTACTATGCTGTAAATCATCTTGCTTTAATTTGTGCAGCAGATTCAACTTCAACACTATTAAGTGTTCCTTCTAAATCTCCAGATTTACTATCGTTAGTTTGTTCGATTGATCCAGAGGGAGCAACAAAATGTCATCGATCAGAACGGTATCAACTTTTTTTCAATGTTAAGAACTTCATCTTTTATTGCCAACGTTTGAAGTGACTTCTCTCAAACATGAACGATTTCTCAACGACAATATCTGCAAAAGAACCAATAATTTCTTCGATAGCCGTGGCAATTTGAAACGTCTTAAAATTGTTGGTTTTTGGATTTTAAAACATTTGCCACCGAAGAAATTATCAGGTTGAGTCGCGGACTAGGTCGCTCTCTTTAAGACGTTTCGCGACACTACTCAAAATTATGCAAAACAGTCAAACTACCGCACCGCCTCCAGGATAAAACAGGCCATTTCTATATTGTACGATTACTACTTGCATGATAGATAATCGGTTTAGAAATACACCCTATGATGGTATAAGACCATTCAAATATGGTATCAGCATCATTCGTAGTATATGGTACAAAAACTAGTCATAATAATTTCTCAAACAAAAAGAAACTCAAATAATTCTCCAAAGAGAAATTAATAATGGTCATTTGACCACTCATAATAATTTCTCCAACAAAGAGAAATTCAAATAATTCTCCAAAGAGAATCCAAAAGATTAAACTTGAAAATTTCTCAACTCAAATGAGGAGAAATTAACATAATTCTCTAAAGAGAATTCAAGAAAATACTCGGAAAATTCAACGAGTAGGAAGAAAGGGGAAGAAGATGACGCTTCGACAATTCGAGATACGCAGAGTTATGAGAGTGAAGAAGGAAAAACTAATAGGATAGTTTTTTTTGTGTGTTTTGGAATGAAACATATGCACTCCTTATATAGTGAAGTAGGATAGTTAATATTTCTCACATGAGCAATGTGGGACTAAATGATTTTTTCAACCAAAAAAATATTCTAACAATGTGGAACTTGAGAAATTTTTAAATTCAACATATTGAAACATGGACATGTTCCAACAGAAACCTTCTTTAAAAAAATATGTGTGTTAAGTTAAATCTCAATTCTATTGTTTAGAAAATTGAATCAAGAGTAGTATTTCTTAAGAGATAAATAAATTTAATTGAAAAAGTATGCACATAAGTGAAGTTATAAAAGAAATAAGGTGTATGCTTAAGAAATGTGTTAATGGTAAATTGTATATATATGAATATGATTAGGTTGAGTTTCCTACTATATTTTGGGTAAAATAGACAGTATATATTTAGAGAAAAAAAGTAATAATAGATTATAAAAAATAAAATAAGACCATAGATTGAATAGAAGTATGAAGTGAGGTGTAGCATAGGGGTTAGATTTCCACAAGTTTTCAACCTTAATTGAGAAGCATTGTTTAACATGTGACATTGTCTCAAATAGTAAAGAGACAACTTTGGCACCAAATCTTGTGAACAAATCATAATCCAATTTACAAACATAGATCATCATGGTATATATCCGACATCATAGGATCATATCTATCTCCAAAACCCCACAAAACTCGTTTCAACATTTTCTAGTTTTTGCATGCATGCATGCTTTTCTCCCTCTCTTTCTCTCTCCCTGGTGTTTGTATCTTTCCCACATATTCTTTCCTCTCTCTCTCTCCTTCCACATTCTCTGTGTGTTAGAGAGAGGAACACCCTTCAGTTTCTGGAATCTAGATTCTCCCGTGGCGACCTTTTTCTCTCACACTTTCCATTCTTTTCTCAAAACCTCTCACCTTTCTTCCTCCCACCTTCAATCATTTTGTTGTTCCTCTACCTCTTGAGGGTCCACCTGGGCCCGCAGTTCAAGTAAGTCCTCCATTTCTTCATTGTCATATACATGCACAATAACATGAAACATGTTCCTCTCGAAATGGCAATTGAGTTGGAAGCTGTGCAGGATCATCTACAGGATCATCTGCAGGAACATCGCATTACAGGAGTCAAGGGTTTGTCGTGATATCTCACTTATTCACCTTTAAGGGATATCAGGCTAGGAAACCGGAGAAAAAAATGAAACAAGTTAATTAGTTTTATATATAAGGAAATTTTGTGAGTTGGTGTGTGTAATGTCTTGTTTCAGGTATGGAAACATTTAGTGGAATAACTCAAGATTTCAGAGGAAGAGTTGAGTGTTACAAACATGATTGGATTTGTGCAATCAAAAGTGGCCTCAGGTAATTCTAATATATAATCATCCATTCTTTTGTATCACTTGTATTTTTTCCTAATTCTTTCAACAATGTTAGAATATTGGCCCCAACTTTCTACATATTCTTTGCTTCTGCACTTCCTGTCATTGCTTTTGGAGAACAGCTCAATAGAGATACAGGTAAATCACCAAAATCTTTGTTATGGATCATTAAAAATGTTTGAGGTTAACCCTAAGGTTTTTACAGGTGGAAGCTTGAGCACAGTTGAAACATTGGCATCAACTGCTATTTGTGGAATTATCCACTCAATATTTGGTGGTCAACCTTTGTTAATTGTAGGAGTTGCTGAACCAACTTGTCTCATGTACACCTATCTATACAATTTTTGCGCAAAAACACCGGAGTTAGGTGCTCAGCTTTTCTTGGCTTGGGCTGCTTGGTAAGTATATATATATATATATAGATATATTTTGGCTTTCACATAAGGATCGTCTTTGAAGGTGAATTAGGCGGGCTACCGCATATGGCTCAAAATTTGAGACGTTTAAACTGTGGCTAAAAAGGGTCTAACAAAATATTTGTCACGGTTAACCCATGATCAAATATGGTCCCTGTTTGATTTGTCACACTACACGCAGAGCCTTAAGACTGTCCTGTTTCTCACTAATCCATTATATATATCACAGATGATTAGATGGTTATATTTGTTGCAGGGTCTGTGTTTGGACAGCATTGTTGCTGATTCTACTGGCAATTTTCAACGCGTGTACGATTATAAGTAGGTTTACTAGGATTGCAGAAGAATTATTTGGCATGCTAATTACTGTGCTTTTCTTTCAACAGGCTGTAGAGGTATGTATGTATAGATATAGATATAGCTAGCTAACTTTTCATAGTAAAATGGAAAGTGAATTTTAACTTCACAATGTTTCTGATCCATTAGGGACTCCTAACTGAGTTCAAGACACCAAAGGCTGCAGATCCCTTGTTAGAGGAATATCAATTTCATTGGCGGTATATAAATGGATTACTTTCGGTCATTTTCTTTTTCGGGTTAATTTTCACTGCATTGTTAAGCAGAAAAGCAAGAAAATGGCGATACGGAACAGGTAAATCACTCTAAAATCCAAATATCTAGTACTTCAATGCTTTAATTTGTGGCATGCATCTTAAAATTTCACTTCCAATGTCACTGTTTTTTGAGTTTCCGCGTTTGCAGGGGGCATACGAGCCTTGGTTGCAGATTATGGTGTTCCAATGATGGTAGTGCTTTGGACTGTAATATCTTATGCTGTGCCAGGCAAAGTTCCACCTACTGTTCCTAGAAGGTTGTTTTGTCCACTTCCTTGGGATCCTGCATCTTTCTACCATTGGACAGTAATGAAGGTATTGATTCTCATCTTGTAATAGTCTTCATTTTCGTGTTATGCAAAAGTCGTAAAATCCATCTAAAGCTACTACTGAATGCAAACGGCAGGATATGGTAAATGTACCATTGCTGTATATCTACGGAGCATTTATTCCGGCAATGATGATAGCAGGTTTATACTTTTTTGATCATAGTGTAGCTTCCAAGATGGCTCAACAGAAGGAGTTCAACCTTCAAAAACCATCTGCATACCACTATGATGTTTTTCTCCTTGGAATAATGGTGTGTGTTATAGTGTTGTGTGAGTCTTGTTTTATGTAAATTCCATATCTTAAAGTTTTCTGACATGCTTACTCTTATGATCCTTTAGACTTTGATTTGCGGTCTTCTCGGTCTTCCTCCATCAAATGGAGTCCTTCCTCAGTCTCCTATGCATACAAAGAGTTTAGCAATTCTTCGGAGGCAGGTCAGTATCATATTTTGCAATAAGGCCGTAACGTCACGAATGCTTACCCAATAGTTAAGTTCAAATAAGTCAATCCAGACAGTCCTGAAGTCTAAAATATCAACTAAAATACTTTGTCAAATTCACAGATGATTCGAAAGAAGGTGGTGAAAGGTGCCAAGGAATGCATTAGGCACCAAGGGACGAACGCTGAATTATACGGAACGATGCGCTCCGTTTTCATAGAAATGGATGCAGTGCCTACGGTAAGTATTGTTGGCTTGACAAAAAGTTGTATCTATGTGTGTATACATATCAAAGAAAGATCATATTTTTTTTTTATCATTTGGTGTAGGCTAGAGAGTTGGAGAATTTGAAGGATGCTGTAATGAATACTAATCCTGGTACAAAGGAAAAGTTTGATCCTGTAAAACATATAGATGCGTATTTGCCTGTTCGAGTTAACGAGCAAAGATTGAGCAACTTATTGCAATCTGTCTTTGTTGCCTTATTACTATTAGCTACATCTCTTATCAAAAGGATACCTACCTCAGTTCTTTGGGGATATTTTGCTTACATGGCAATTGATAGTCTTCCAGGGAATCAATTTTTTGAGAGAATTTTGCTTCTTTTCATCACCCCGAAAAGGCAGTACAAGTAAGTATCCTTAAATATTAATCCATAAAACTGTTTTCAGATTATTTTCATAACCTCTGCATGAACTTATAACTTATATGTGCAGAGTTTTGGAAGGCACTCATTCGTCGTTTGTGGAGACAGTACCATTCAAGACAATAGCTGGATTTACAGCTTTACAGCTTCTATACTTTTTTCTGTGCTATGGTTTAACATGGATACCTATTGGTGGAATATTGTTTCCAGTACCTTTCTTCCTTCTCATAATGCTAAGAGAGAAACTGCTTCCAAGATTATTCAAGGCAAGCCATCTGCAGGAGTTAGATGCTTCTGAGTATGAGGAAATAGTCGGTGCTCCGCTTGGACCCTACAATATACCACTGATTGTAGGATTTCTATAAAACTTGGTTACATTTTATATTACTCTCGCGATTAAATAACGAGTGACTGATGTTGAAAATGTTTGATCAGGATAAAGATGCGCTTACTAGTGCTAACAGTGATAGCGAAGAAGAAAATGATTATGATGCGGAGATTTTGGATGAGATGACAACTCATAGAGGAGAGTTGAAATTTAGAACAATAAACCAAAATGATAACAGAAACTTCAACCGTAGCTTCAACCGTAGCTTCACTTCTCGCTTCAACGAAGACAGAAACTCTCAGGTAAATGATTGATTGTGATTTGTTAATTGTGGAAAACGTTGTACAATTAACTCTATGTTTATGCTTGGACTTGGACTTTCACAGGCTTACCCTGACGAAACTAGCCGTATATGATGAATTAGCCTCGCTCATTCACCTTTTGTTAGAATGTATGATTGAGTTGCTCTTTAATATCAATTTCTTAATACAAAACTGATGATGTGGGCTAGGAACACACTTTGTAAGAATATTTGTTACTTGAAACTTAGTGCTAATGTAAGGAAGTGATACAATTTGGTTGTCATAGGTGTCTCGAATTAAATGGAAATCAACTTTGATGTGTTTAGTATGTTTATGAAAAACGAAAGTTGCAACGAGTTGGATGACACTTGTATTGAACATGTCGCATATCATGTCCCTTACCTCTGTCACATGTTCGACAATATATCATGAATCATGGTTCCTTAAGTTATGAGATGTTCCTCACTAAGAATTCAACAACACATCTATCCAAAGAAACAATAGTACTCTTATTCAACAAAACACTTCTAACAACCTCAAATTCTTTACAAAGTTTCATGATAAATTGATTCGACCTACTGGTGTTGTAGACTTCTCCACAATCACAAGAGAAGTCTTGGAAACATCAGTTAATAATAGCATAGTGTTTTGTCCATAAATTTTATTAAAAAAACAAATTAATATTCTTGAACATGAAAACTCCCTTGTTTGTAATCGCCCATCTATAATTCTAATTGGAAAATTTTGGCCGCATTATCCTGGTCGTAAATATGTTTTAAATAATTCCAAATTTCTTGCGCTATTACAAACTAACATAAATTATTAATATGAGAATCAAAAGTATCGAGAATTCAAGTGATAATTTGAGAATCTTAAGTTTCTCAAACATCTAAAACAATTTTCTCAATTTGCATCTCAAAAACATCATCCAAGTAACCTCGTAATCTTTTTTCTTTGGCATAATTTTCAATTGAAAATTTTAAGTAGGATAATTCTTGCCGTTAAAACGGATTCAAAAATAATCTCTTTCATTTTCTAAAGTCATGAATTCAATGTGAATAAAAAAATAGAACTTGAGGACAAAAAAAAGACATGTGTCCTGAAGCTAGGAGTAGGGATGTAAATGTATATTTATGGGGACGGATAATATGATATTCGTGTCCGTTTCGTTGAATAAATATGATATTCATATCCACTCCATATTCTTGTGAATATCCACTAAACGAAAAATTCGTTGATTTTAAAACATCTGCAAATATTTATAAATATTCATGGATAACACTTTTTTTCTAAAATTATGTTTTAAAAAAATATTTCTAACTTCTTTTAAAGACATAAGAAGTTATTTTCACATAACATCCATACAAATCTATCTTATTTTAACAATAAAATTTTATCACGTTAATTTTCTTCATTTTCACCAAAGCATAATATTCGTGCATTTCACTTTTAACAAAATAAATTGAAAAATGTTGTGATTGTGAGTTATGGTGAAAGAGAGGTCAATGGAGGTTTGAGGATTGAAAAGGATGACACTGATTGGACGGGGAAATGACGGTACCCGGGTTGGTTGGACGTTAGAATTGTTGAAGTGAGACATGAAATATAAAAGAAGCTTAAATATGAAATGTGAATAGGATTTGTATGGTATATAAATATTTTCTTCAAAGATATATATATATATATATATATATATATATATATATATATATATATATATATATATATATATATATATATATATATATATATATATATATATATATATATATATATATATATATATATATATATATATATATATATATATATGAGGAAATTATTAAAAAATATAATTTTTCTTGATAGTTTTATTTTATACATTAATTTGTGAATATATGCAATATTTTTTTAAGTAAAATTTGTTAAAAAGATATTTTATAAAAAATTACTCTAAAATATATGTGAAAAATCTAATTGAAATGTGAAAAATAACCTATTAATCTATTAAAAAATGAAAATAAAATAAATCAAAAAGCAGACAGGCAAGTGTAACGTCCGTTAATTTAATTAATTATTTAATTAAATTAATTACGGATTAATGGTTGAAAATGTTGTTGAAATTGTTGAAGTTGCGAAATGTCGAGAAATATTGATTTAAGTTGCTAAATTGTTATTTGGTTAATATTTAATTGATTGGTTGATTAACATTTGCAATAATATTAATATAGATATTAGAATAATATAAGGTTTATTAGTTGAGCTCATTATTTGGTTGTATGGAGTAATAGGTGGGGTGTGATAGTTAGGCCCATTGAGAATAATAGAATATTATTTGGTTAGTTGAATAAGAAAGAAAATAGGTGTTATCAATAAGAAAGGAAATAAGGATTTTGGAGCTTTTGGAGAGTACGTAGAGTTGTTGTGAAGTTTGAAAGTTGTAGAAAAGAGGCAAAAGCTAGGTGTTGAATCAGAATGTTATAGAGGAGTCTCGAATCTAAGGTAAGGGTGGGGTTATAACTTTATAACTGGATATATGATGGATAATATGTAGGGTTAGATTTGTATGAAATAATTCATGTTTGTGTGGATTGTGTTGCAGAGTAATTGTGTTCATATGTTGTTGTCTCTGTCAAATGGGGTTTTCTTGTGAGAAATTATTCTATGTTGATATAATTTTTTATGTTGTTGTGCTGTTGAAATTGGTAAACTGATGAATCGGAGGAAAATTTTGGAGAAGAAAAACAAAAAATTTCAGAAGCCACGGGAAGAAGCATGTGTCGTGCGGCACAGGCAGAAGAAAGGAAGTGACGATCGGCAGGAAGTATTGTGTCGAACGACACATGTGGGGAGGAAGGGGGTGTCGATCGGCACCCTAGAAGAAAAAGGGAACGTGCCGTTAGGCACCAGTAGCCATGGCAAGGGGAACCTATCATTAAATACATTTCGTTTTGCTTGTTTCCTGGCCATGGTACAAGATTCAAGATTAATGGTTTTGGTTCTTATTTATTTAAGGTAGTATATTAAAAAGTGGGACGTTAGTAGTAACTTAGTAGTAGCTGAATTATTAATTTAATGGTTCTTATGGGTGCCATATTCTCCTTTTGTTTTTATATGTGCCTAGGGGCACAATCTATATGATGAGGGGCACCAGTATTGTGACGGTAAGCATAGATTGTTGCAAGAACTAATTAAGTGATTTTGTATTTTATAATAATTAACTTAATAAATTAAGGGTAATATATATATATATATATATATATATATATATATATATATATATATATATATATATATATATATATATATATATATATATATATATATATATATATATATATACTCCAAAATTTACCCTCTCATTTCACAAGGAATCACCCTGGATCTCAAGTTTGCTTCCATCCAATTCCAAGCCTTGAACTGCAATTTTTCAAGAAAGTCATCCGCAAGGGAAAATGGTCATTTGCATGCTGAAAATTCAAACTTTGATTTTTGGATCAAAATCAAGTTCCAAGAATCATATTTCATTAAGGCATGAAATTGGTTCATCAAAAATCAAAAGTCAGAAGTTACTTTACAAATCAAATTTTCTAAACATTTAGAAAATTTTCTAAGTGTCTAGAGAATAGGATACTTTAGAACTTCTGAGCCAGCCTCTATGCAAGTGCACTCAGAAGTTGCAAACACGGTTCAGAACATGACGCTTCCTTCAGAACATGCTGGAGCCAGAAGATAAGAGGATCAGTCAGAGTTTGCAAGGATAAGTCAAAGAAGGTTAAGAAGCGTGCTGTCAGCTTTCTAGAAAGTCTAAAAGCTCCTTCAGAACATTCTAGAGCCAGAAGATAAAAGATCAGAGGTTGGATGCTACGCTGAAGCAGAACTTCTGATCCAGAACTAAGCCATGGTGTAGAATCTCGTGTTGCAGGATTTCTGGTTGTGATAAGTCTCATCATCATTTAATGCTCACAACCAATTTCTGAGTCTTTATCCAAAGGATTTTCACCACGTGTACCTCTACTGTCTTGGGACAACAAACTTTGGTACTAGGCCCATGCTTTGTTTTGCTTTTCCTTAAATCCTGCTGACAACTCCAGCTTAAGCATGATTAAAAGCTGCTAATCATCAGCTAGTTCAGCCTACGCCTGCATCCCATTATTGCACCAAACTAGCATACGAAAACAGTGATGAAAAAGCAAGGGAGCAGGATGCCAAATTGATTTAAAATCCCATTTGTGTTTCCCCCTAAAATCATAACAAATTCACCTATAAATACTTTGCTCCATCACTCGTTCAAGGGGCTGGCTTTTGGAGAGAGAGAGAGAGAGAGAGAGAGAGAGAGAGAGAGAGAGAGAGAGAGAGAGAGAGAGAGAGAGAGAGAGATTGGCCAAAAGAAAGAAAAGGAAGTTGTGAAACCTTCATAAAAAATCCAGATTTCTCATACACAAAAATAAACCTTTGTTCTTCCTTTTCAACCAAAGAACTTGGTATTTTCTCTTCCGTTACTCTTGCTGATTCCAGAAACATCCCAAGGCAGCCACTCAAAGCTCCAAGCCCACGCTCCAGATTCAAGGTAAGTCTTTCTGACCTTTGCATTTTTTATTCAGAACATCATTAAATATGTAAATACCATAGTATTAACGTTGTTTATATCATTGTATAAATAGAAAAAATTGTGGATCAAAACTTCTTGATTAGGGCTAGATTCAGATTTAGGATTAGAACTTCTGTAAACTGTTGTGTTTTTTATCCTTCTGATTTGTTGTTTGTTGAAAACTGAATAGATTACTGATGTGCTGATTGAGAGTTGAAATATGGCATGAAACTTCTGATGTTCATTCATAGTTTTAACATACAGAACTTCTATGATTTTTCTCACTGTTAAACACACACAGAAATTCTGAGTTCTCCTCACTGTTTTAACACACAGAACTTCTATTATTTTCCTCACTGTTAACACACACTGAACCTCTGATTCTTACATGCTGATAATGCACTGAACTGCTAATGTTCACTCACTGGCTCAGCACAATTCAGAACTTCTGATGATTCACTCACTGTTTTAACACAGCACAGAACTTATGAGTTCTCCTTACATGTTAAATACACTGAATTTCTGATGCTTACATGCTGATAAC